AGAGTAAATTGAGCTTTTGGATCTTATCCAATTAGATATTAAACACATCTGAAGAGATATCATCTCTTCCCAAGCACATTCCATAAAAGCACAAAACTAACCATGCATTCAAAACCTAAGTGTTTTATTTCATTTTTTATTCATCCCCCTTGCTAAGAATGTTTAGAAAGTGCAAACAGAGGCCGGGCGTGGTGACTCATGCCTGTAATTCCAGCACTTTGGGAGGCCGAGGCGGGCGGATCACAAGGTCAGCAGTTCCGAGGCGGGCGGATCACGAGGTCAGGAGTTCTGAGACCAGCCTGGCCAAGATGGTGAAACCCAGTCTTTACTAAAAACACAAAAATTAAGCCAGGTGCGGTGGCTCATGCCTGTAATCCCAGCACTTTGGGAGGCCAAGGCAAGCGGATCACGACGTCAACCGGTAGAGACCATTCTGGCAAACATAGTGAAATCCTATCTCTACAAAACCTACAAAAATTAGCTGGGCATGGTGGCGGGCGCCTGTAATCCCAGCTACTCGGGAGGCTGAGGCAGGAGAATCGCTTGAACCCAGGAGGCGGAGGTTGCAGTGAGCCGAGATTGCGCCACTGCACTCCAGCCTGGGCGACAAGAGCGAGACTCCCTCTCAAAAAAAAAAAAAGAAAAAAGAAAAAAGAAAAAGAAAAGCTTTGCGTAGTGGCAGTATCTTGGCCAATGAGGTTTATCCGAGGCGCGATTATTGATAGTTTAAAACTTTTTCCAATACCCCGCTGTGATGATTTGCAATATAGTCGGCATTGGCAATTTTTGTCAGTCTCTACGGATACTGAATAAAAAAATAAAATACAAATAAAAATTAGCCAGGCAATCCCAGCTACTCAGGACACTGGGGCAGGAGAATCGCGCGAAGCCAGAAGGCGGAGTTTGCAGTGGGCCGAAATCGCGCCACTGCACTCCAGCCTGGCGAGAGAGAGATTCCGTCGCAAAACAAAACAAAACAGTGCAAACAGATTAAAATACAAACATTTTAAACTCCTTTAATAGTTTTGTACATTTAAATTTTGATGAATTTCTTTTTTTTTTTTTAAAGACGGAGTCTCGCTCGGCTGCCCAGGCTGGAGTGCAGTGGTGCGATCTCGGCTCACTACAACCTCCGCCTCCTGGGTTCAAGCGATTCTTCTGCCACAGCCTCCTGAGTAGTTGGGATTACAGGCGCATGCCACCACACCCAGCAAGTATTTGCATTTTTAGTAGAGACAGGGTTTTACCATGTTGGCCAGGCTGGATGAATTTATTTTGATAATTTGTAAAGCCAAAAGTATTTTAGATATTCAAATAAAAACCCAACCGAAGTAACTTAATCCTAAAATTTACCCTTTTTAGCAATGTACTTACAGATATGCAATATGTATTAAATTGTTTTAGAAATATATATAATTATTGTACTATGCCAACTAATTTCATAATAAGGATTAAAAACTATCTTGATTATAATGCTATTTTTCCTTTGTAAGAAAGAGTACAGGTTACTACTGGAAATCTTTACTTTCTTCCTTGAAATGCCAGAAATTCTTCTGTAAAATAAACACCTCTTGTCAAGACTCTCTGGACTAGTATAATTACCAGAGGCAATCCTTGTGTAAGATCAAAGAAGCAAAACAATAATAGGCAACGTGTGACCTCTACCATGTCACCGGAGACCAATTTTTCAACAGGGAGAACAGTCAATAATCCAGAACAGAAAACATTAAATAACAAGAAATGCTTCCAAAGTGTGGCTCACCACATCTTTCAACACTGCCACATTCAGAGTTCAGTCTCTATGGTTTCTAAAAACAAACTTCTGGGGATTTATCACAACAATCATTAAAATCTGCATAAAACACCAGAGGCAATAAACAACTTGCCAATTTCCCAAATGCAGAGTAGAATTTCAAAAGATACTACAATAATTTTCAAAATTCCATGTGATGCTTAAAAAGTATTGTGGGAAAGGCACAGATAACTAAATATTTTCCACCTAACACTTAACTAATTTCTGTTATTTACCTAGCCCCAATTAATTTTCCCAAAAGAGTTATTTGCAAAGTTGGCTATGAACATTAACCAAATAAATATAATTAGTAATAACACATTAAATACTTCTACAGGTTTTTTTTTTTTTTTTTTTGGCTTTGTTTTGTTGACAATGGTGGGTCACTAAACCCAGAAACAAGGTTTCCTGTGTAATATATTTGGGTGACTAAACATTACAAGGGTAAATTCTCAAAGTAATTACAGTAAAACAGAAGTACATTTAAAACTGACTTCTAAAAAGCAATGCAAATCAAATTGTGCCTCAGATTCAGCAAAACTTGATTGTTTTTCTTAAATACTTTTGCCATAAAACTGTCTTCTTTCAAAATCAGATGTGAATTAGGGGCTGAACAAATGTATTTGAATTATTTAACCTGCAAAACACACATTCTGCTGGTAATTCAGAGAGTAAGTAAGAAAAGAGGGAGACTTTGCTTAAAAGAAAAAGCACTGGAAATTCAAAGCAATCATGAACCTTCTGTTTTTTTTATTCTGTTCTTTTATGATTTCTTGCTCCTGCTACCTCCATCTTTCCACCCTGTCATCTGCTCCTGTCTTTCCAACTTCTTATCTTATTAACATTGCTAATTGTATTTGTCAGTTTTGCCACAATTTTAAGGCTACTTAAACAGCTGTGGGTTTTCTCCAGGCAATTATCAGTCACTATACTTAGGTTTCTAAATTAGTTGTTGAAAGGTGCTTTAACCTTGAGGGAAAAAAAAGAGCATACTACATGCTAAGCCTTACATTTATGTATATGTTCCTTTAACATGATTATCAAAAATTCAAAACAAATCACACACAAGTAGTAGATACTGTAAATTTATAAATTAACAAGGCCTGTTATATATTCCTTATCATTTTATCCTTCCTTTACTATATATGTTATAACATATGCTTTCTTTCTATATAGGTGGATAGATTGGAATATAAAAGATAGTGTAGAAATTGGAATATCAAAATACTGCCAAATTCCTCTAACAGTCTCCTTTCGCAACCTGTCAGTTGGCTAATACCTTTCAAAGGTATCCACAATCATATAAGCGGTCTCTTGAGGTCATGGGTTGTGGTAAAGACAGCTTTTACAATATGCAGATTTTCCCCTTCTCCATTTCCCTTCAAAGAGAAAACTCCTTATTGTATTGCTTTTCTTATTCTCAATTCTTGACTCTGACATTGATTTTCTTCTTGACCACATTCAGGAAGAAACACAAGGTTTAAGGTTCTTTGTCAACTGACAGCTCCTTCCATGAACTATCAACAACTAAATAATCTGTAATACAAAAACATGACACTTCATGTGCCACCCATTTTCCTCATAAGTTAAAATAAACTCAAATATAACTTTTTAGAGTTAGCAAGTTTTTTTGCTTTTAAAGGTTTAATAATAATGCCCTGTTTGTGGATAAGGCCAAAAGCTTGTAGAATTAGTTTTAAATTAATGTAGGTTCCTGCCTTACCTCTCCTCCTCCACCCTCCATCACTCCCCACAGCTACCACTTTCTGCTCCACGGAAAGAAAAAGGTCACGTTTCAACAGGGCAAAATTCTTCACTAAAATGATAAACATTTTGAAATGCAAAGTACACTTCAAACTCTAACTGTTCTTTCAGATCTATATTGACTCTTATAGATGTTGCCAACATTTGGTAAGGATTATCCTTCCATTAGACAAAAGTGAGCATTCCTTAGATAAATCAGGAGTTTTTGCCATGAGACTCATAAAACCTTTTCACAACACAGATTTTCAAGAGAATCCTTTAAGGTTTAGGAGGCTGCTCCTTTACTAAGTAACAAAATACACCCCATGGTGTCTCACTGACCCCACTCAGCTGTCCTTTGACCTCCTCAATTGTTGCAGCCTAACTCCAGGGTCCACAGAATGTGCCTCCCATATCAAAAAGGCTAATGTTGCTTCCTCCTAGCACCTGGTGAAACAAAATGCAACAGTTCTTTTTCTTCTGCCTCTTCCACTCCCTCTCTGACTATTTTCCAGATGTTCCAGGCCCAAATGTTAAGTCCATCCTGGGTTTCAGTATCTACGTGGTCACCATGAAGGAACAAACAGGGACCAGGCTGAAGTGGCAATGACCCTCTTGTTCTTTTTAGCCTCAAAAGGATACAACGGGTCATAAAAGAGGAAAAGATCTTTGGCCTCTCTTGGAAATGCCAGGCTATTTAAGCACATTGTAACTTCCAAAAGGAGAGAGACAGTGGGATATGCCCCTTCTGAGAGACAGGAGTTACCTAAAACAGTAGTCTTAAATTCTCAATTCTAACCAAGCAGTTACCTAAAACAGTAGTCTTAAATTCTCAATTCTAACCAAGTATTTGATTTTCTTTAACTGGCGGGGGGCGGGGCGGGGGGAGTATCACCTTTTTCCTTTTCTAAATTAAAAGCCTCCTAAAATAGAAGAAAAAAAACTTTTGTAAAATCTTTATAACACACATCTCAGGATAGTGTTATATGAGACAAATATATGCAGTCAATAGGGATAATCTGGGTTGTTCTGCAGAAGCCTATAATCTAGAATTCTCATTTATTATACAATTTGAAGGATAAAATCATAATAAACAAAAGGGAATAAAGAACTGAATGCTTCCCAAACTAAAATGCAAAGAGAAAAGAAAAAAAAAACTGAACTCTTATTTTCTTAATTTAGGTATATAGGAAATAGAGAGGCTATTGTAGGGAAACAACTCACTGCAGAAGCTTTCTGGTATGGGGCAAGGGGGTGGGGAAGGGAGAGGAAAGAAGAGAAGGAGGGAAAGGAAGGTGAAGAGCTCATAGAAGTATCTTATTCACTAAGGATCAAACATAGTAGTTTTATTTAAATTCTAAATACAACTTCCTAAAACAAATTTGATCTTGAAAAATGGGAGGGGTAAAAGAAAAGAGAAAAAAAAAAAAGAAAAATGGGAGGGGTATATATAATTGCACAATACCTTAGTTTATTTATTAACATTTTTGAATTACAGTCATGATTAAGTTGGGCAGTCAACACTTCAGGGAGTCTGTTGCCTAGATTTTAACTTGTTTAACACTTTTTTTGCACCTGCAAAAACATAAAAAATAAAAACATATACATAAAGACATGAGTTAATTTCCAAATACATATTCAATAATATAACAAATATTTATAATTCTATAAAAATCACAATTAGAAATTATCAAAGTCTCACACTTTCCAACTCCATATACATTATAATGAGCAAAGACACAGATACTCCACCTTTCTCAATGGTCTTAAAATAATGACTCCTAATTATAGATACTCAAGGATAATTTATGTTCTTACAAAGTCTCCCCACTAAAAGTAAGTTGAGTAAGTCTCTCAAGTCTGCATTTATGGCAGGTGTTACCATAATATCAAAAGCCCACAGACTATTTACTTTTAGGAATAAAATTGGTGGTAGGTAATTTTCTTATCTAAGGAATTGAATAGTAATAATCTCTGATACCTGGCCCAAATTTATCTACGCAAAGAACTATAAAAAAGGTAAAACAAAATTAATATTCATCGAATAATTTCCAATAAGGAAGCCTGCAGGAAGAAAAAGAGCTATTGTTTCCTACCGTCTGAGTTGTGAATTCCTAGAAGATATTGAAATATAATTGGTTGAAAATTATAGTATGTTAATTATAGTATACTGACCATACTTTATTTAGAGCATGTTAATCTCTGCTCTAAATAAATTATGGTCAATATAAACTACTACATGGAAAAATAGGAAATGCAGTTGTAAAACAAAGTGAAATGAAAATTACTTGTCATTGATTTTTGTATATAACTTACAAGCATATTTCTAGTCCTTTGTTACTGTGTTTAAAAAGAAAACAAAAGAGGATTTTCCTAAAAGATATAGCACTAAAATATTTGAAGTAAAATTAATTTATGTTGTCTAAAAATGGTTTTTTTCATTTAACTTTTATACCAACTTGAAAGAAAAAAAACCATTTTAGATTTTCGAATAAAAATATTTATCTTACCTCTTACTGTCAGAAGAATGTCTTCAGGCAAAAGAATTTAATAAAAGCAAGGCCTACGTTTTCAAACTCACATATATTCCACCCATCCAACACACAAATGGACATCTTTTTCTAAGTCAGCAGAAGCCTTGCTACCTACATCCAAACCCAAGATTACCCCATATGGTCAACAAGGTCAAACTGCATTACTGCCAATGAAACTATATTACTCCGCAAGGACCTTCATGATTTAAAAAAAAAAAAAAAAAAAAGGTCAGTAATCGAGTTCCAATAGCGTCATACTCTAAAATTGCTAATTTTTGGCCACGTGCTGCACACTTCACCTGTTTGTAATGACATTTTTGTATTTTCTTCTAATTACACTCAAAGCTAAGACCTTTGGCCCTGGGCCACAGACCCCTATTCAGGCTGCACACATTCTCTTAAACGACCTGATCCTTTGTTGTCACTCTTACTCTTTCATCTATTATTTATACCCATAGAGAAGGAAGATACTCAACCATTTGTATAGCTTAAAGCTTCTAATCATCTTAATTTGCCTTTCAACCTATGGTCTTTTTCATAGACAAATGCCAAAAAGTTTGACAAAATCATTTTTTTTTTGCAGTCACATTGCCCCCCTCTTCCCCTTTCTTACTCCCTGGCCAATCTCCTTCCTGTTCCTTGTCTTTCACAGGAGGGACTTTGTGTTAGCCAGGATTTACAAATTTTGACCTTCACCAACAAAATGAATTTCTAAATGCAATACAAATCTTCAACTTGTTCTGACAGATCAATAACAATCATATTTCTTTTCTTGATCAAAGACCCCCTTAAGTTGGAGGTTACCGAAAATAACTTAAAATCTGTCCTCAGCCTCCCAAAAGCCTGAGCATAGAATTTTCAGAATTCCTCTACAAAAATGCCAAAAAGCATTTAGTAAACAGTAAGAATATTAGTTATAGGGCCAAAACTTTTAATTTTAATGTCTATATTTGCTCATTTGTTTACAAAAAAAGAGGAAGGAAAGAAAAAAGAGAAAATAAAACATTTTAATGTTAGATATTTAATATTTAAAATATTTAAAAGACTACTAATTCTCCAAACAGCAAAATCCTTACATAATATATTCTGTATTATTCAGATTATTTCCCAACACTCTCTCCAGATTAAAAAATATATATTCAAACACATTTTGCAAATCCAAAGCATGGAATTGTTTACCATGATGCAGATGTCTCCCTCAGATCACGATAGGCACCAAAAGATTCTGATTTCCTAGATGTTTATAAAATGATATCTGATCCATCTTTGCTCTCTTCCCCTATTGCTCAGCTTACTCTTGATTTCTAACAGTGTTTTCTTGTTGTCTGTCTCCTCTGCAGACCCTGAAACCCCTTGACTTTTCTTATTTTCACCATTTGCTTCAACCAGCAGTTCACTGGAGACCCATCCATCTTGTAATGCCTAAAGTGACAGATGCTCTCAGGAACGACCACACTGCTGAGTGAACAAAAGATAACATCACCTCCAGGAACTCCAGAGAGAAATACAACTGCAAGCTTAAGACAGGGGGTAACTTGACAGACACTGGACCATAAACCTCTTCTAAGCAAAAAAGAAAACAATTGCCACACACACAAAAAAAATCTGACACAGTCAAAGGCAGAAAAGAGTGATTATTTGTGGATTGCCTTTTCACTCTGTAACTCACTTTTCCCCACCCAATGCTTTTATATTGGGGCAATTCACTCACCAATAGGCAAGAGAAGTTTTTGTGGGTGGGGGGTGCGGGGTGGGAGGAGCCTTTCTCAAGTATCTTCTTTTATTCATCAATATTCAAAGTGAAATTCATTCACAAGTGTTTCAGGAAATCTAAGTCTACCATACAGCATTCTTAAGTCTGACCCTCTTGTTTGCATAAAGCAGTATCTGGACTCAAAACTGCTGACTCAATTCTACTGAGTGAAAGGCACAGGCATGCTTTGCAAATTAAAAACACATTAGAAATTAAAAAGCAACGTGTAACAATGTCAACAATATGTGCAGCACATTTAAAAAAGCTCACCATTCATTCATTCAATCTCCAACTTGGGTTAAAAAGACATTTTACAAGAGGATTCTGGGAAGGGCTGCAGATCTCTTTTCTAACAAAGGAAAGGTCGTATTAGCATCTCCCAGCAACAAACTAATGACAGGGAAGCTGTAGATGTAAAAGACTCTGCCTGATGCCATCTAGGTTCTAGGACCTTCATTGTTGCTGTTGTTTAAAATATCTTATTTAAAACCATCAGCAGCAATAGGAGGAAAAATTCAACGAAGGGAAAATTTCGAAGAACATAAAAACAAAAACCAACCTAGAGGTCAATGAAGAACATTGTGTGGTCAATGCCAATTATGGAGATTAACAACCCATTTTTATAACAGATATGGAGCAACACAGGAAAACCTCTATTGCAGCTAAATACATTATTTTCCTCAAAAAGGGCAAATGATACAAATATTTGTTACATCTAAAGAGCCAAAATGCTTAAGAAAAGTTCCATCAACAATATTTCTAAGAAGAAATGTAAACACTTAAAATGGCAGTTCTTTAGTAAAAATATTTTTTCTGTAAAATTTCTGCACACAGGCCGGGCGCGGTGGCTCAAGCCTGTAATCCCAGCACTTTGGGAGGCCGAGACGGGTGGATCACGAGGTCAAGAGATCGAGACCATCCTGGTCAACATGGTGAAACCCCGTCTCTACTAAAAATACAAAAAATTAGCTGGGCATGGTGGCGTGTGCCTGTAATCCCAGCTACTCAGGAGGCTGAGGCAGGAGAATTGCCTGAACCCAGGAGGCGGAGGTTGCGGTGAGCCGAGATCGCGCCATTGCACTCCAGCCTGGGCAACAAGAGCGAAACTCCATCTCAAAAAAAAAAAAAAAAAAAAAAAAAAAAAAAAAAAAAAAATTTCTGCACACAAAGCCTCTAAGTTATGCTACAATCATTTTTCTTTGGAGTTACTAATGACTTCTCTCCTCCTCATCTTCCAAAAAAATCAAATAAATTTTAAAAGGTATTTTATCTTCTGTGATTGAATTACTTGGGGGGAGGAGTTTTAAAAATTCCAACTTGATATAAATCAACATATCAGTTATTTAAACATTTTTATGTCTCTCTTATCTCCTCAAACACTTCAATGTATCTTTTATAAATAACACAGTATAATAGTTCACAACCTCAGAATTTTCTGAGTGTTTTTTTTTTTTTGAGGTGGAGTCTCACTGTGTTGTCCAGGCTGGAGTGCAGTGGTGCAATCTCTGCTCACTGCAACCTCTCCCTCCTGGGTTCAAGCAATTCTCCTGCTTCAGCCTGCTAAGTAGCTGGGACTACAGGCACACACCACCACGTCCAGCTAATTTTTGTATTTTTAGTAGAGACGGGGTTTCACCATGTTGGCCAGGATGGTCTCGATCTCCTGACCTCATGATCCACCCGCCTTGGCCTCCCAAAGTGCTGGAATTACAGCCGTGAGCCACTACACCTGGCCTTTTCTGGGTGTTTTTTAAGGCTGGCAAAGCAGAATACATACAAAATAATGAGTGTGTAAAATTTTATCACAATAGAAAAAAAGATTAAATAATTATAGAACATTTATCTAAGATAAAATGCTTGTTCTAATATGGACTGGATCTTTAACTAGAAGACCTTATAAAAAAAAATCTTATAGACACTGGCCCTAAGTAATCCCCTACAATCTATTAATCCAAAAGTACCACATCATTCAACACTTTCAGACTTCAGTTTAAGAAGAAAGAGAAGTGACCTTGAAATGACAGCTCCATTGCAGAAGGCTCAAAAAAAGTTCCAATTAAATGATCTATTTTAAAACACAATAGAATCAATATGCATGCTAGAAAAGGACACCCCTGTGGAAAGTTCTTACTGTCTGATTGATCAAAAACAAAACAAAACTTTTTTTTTTTCCCAAGGGCCCTTTCCAGATCACACAGTCTGTACCAGAAATCCACACAGGAAAAAAATCCATCAAAATGAAACCCTAAAAGAGTTTACCCTTCACCATACCATTTGCACTTCAAAAC